TGGCCAGGGTGGTCTCGATCTCTTGACCTCATGATCCGCCCACCTTGGCCTCCCAAAGTCCTGGGATTACAGGCGTGAGCCACCGCACCCGGCCTTTTTTTGTCCTTTCTTTCAGATTTTCTGTGTATACAATCATGTCTGTGAACAAAAACAATTTTGTTTCTTTCCTCCCAATATGGTTACTTTTATTTCCTTTTCATTTAATTGCATTAACTAGGACTTCTAGGATAACATTGAGAAGCAGTAGTGAGAGGAGGGGCATCCTTACTTTATTCCCCTGATCAGACTCGGAAAGCTCTGAGTTTTTCATCTTTAAGTATGATATTAGCCATGGGAGATTTTTTTCGTTTTGAAAGATATTCTTTTTGAAGTTGAGGAAGTTTCCCTCTACTTTTAGTGTACCGAGATTGCTTGTCATCAACAGGTGTTGGATTGTGTCAGATGGCATTCTCTACATCTATTGGTATGACCAAATGAGTATTCTTCTTTAGCCTGTTGATATGCTGTACTGCTTTAATTGATTTTTGAATGGTTAACCAGCCTTGCCTACCTTGGATGAATTCTGCTTGGTCATGATGTTCTTTTTATACATTGTTGAATTCAACTCAATGATATTTTGTGGAATATTTTTGCTTGTATGCTTATGAGCGAATATTGGTCAGTTTTTTATTTCTGTTAATGTCTTTATCTGGTTTTGGTATTAGTGTAGTGCTGGCATCATAGAATGAGAAAGTATTCTGTTTGCTTCTGTTTTTTGAAAGAGGTTGCAGATAATTGGTAAACAGTTGTTCTTTGGTATCTGCAGGGGATTGATTCCAGGATCCCCCGACACATATCAAAATCTGAGGATGCTCAAATGTCTTATATTAAATATTATGGTATGTGCATAAAACTCATGCATATCCTCCTGTATATTTTAAATCATCTCTAGATTACTTATACCTAAGACAATGTTATATAAATAGCTACTATACTGGATTTTTATATATACTGTTTTTATTGTTGTATTGTTATTTTTCTTTTTTTAATATATATTTTTGATTCATGGTTGGTTGAATCCACAGATGTAGAATCCACAGATACAAAGGGCTAACTGTAACTTCTTCCTCAAACATTTAAAAGAATTCACCAGTGAATCCATCTGGGCTTAATGCTTTCTGTTTTGGAAAGTTATTAATTATTTGTTCAGTTTCTGTAACAACATGGGACTATTCGGATTGTTCATTTATGTGAGTTTTTGCAGATTATGTCTTTCAAGAAATTTGTACATTTCATCTACATTATCAAAGCTGTAGGCATAAAGTTGTCCAATAATATACATTGATTATCTTTTAAAAGTTCATGGGATCTGTGTGGAGGAAAAGTTAAATATTAAATTTGAACTCAATTGAACATGGGCACAAACAATGGTCACCAAATCCTGGAACAGGTTGTGTGAGCCCCTTGAGGCCTCATCCAGTACGGTTTCGGAGAAATCTTTATTTCAATCTATTTCTATACCTTAGTTATTGGAAAACAGTAGGTGGGGCCTGGTGGCTTCAGCCTGTAATACAAACACTTTAGGAGGCCAAGGAAGGCAGATCACTTGAGGTCAGGAGTTCAAGACCAGCCTGGTCAACATTGCGACACTCCATCTCTACTAAAAATACAAAAATTAGCTGGGTGTGGTGATGGACACCAGTAATCCCGGCTACTCAGGAGGCTGAGACTGAAGAATCGCTTGAACCCAGGAGGTAGAGTTTGCAGTGAGCCAAGATCGCGCTACTGTACTCCAGCCTGGGCAACAGAGCAAGACTTGTCTCAAAAAAAAAATAAAAAAATAAAAAAATAAAAACAATGAACAATTGCAAAAACAAGTTGACCTTTTTGTGTTTCTTGAGCCCAGTCACGAAGGGCCCTCATGACTGGACCTCATACCAAACAAGTCGTTACAAAAAGAACTAGGGTCCCAGACTACACCAAAGCTTCATGAGACCTCTCCTTGTCTGTGCACGGATGAGTGGCTGACTCTGGAGCCCAGGCTGTTGCTTCACAGTCTGGTGGTGAATCCTCTATAGTCTGGTGAGTACAGTGTCCAACTCTGGAACCCAGGCTGTTGCTTGCCAGTCTGGTGGTTAATCCTCCTTAGTCTGGTGAGTGTAAATATATATGTAGCTATTTTCCCTTCTCCTCTTCCCATTGCAATTTGCTTATTATATCATTTGCTTGTTATATCAATTGGCTTATTATATTAACTTGCTCATTATGTCATTTGCTTATTATATCTGCATTGCCATTTACATGGGATAAAGCTTGTTTACCCTTAAAGGTATCTTTTGTGTATGTGCCTTTTCTTCTCCCTTTGCGCGTCTCCCCCTCAGAACAATCTGTAGTGATGTCCCCTCTCATTTTATGTGTTAGTAATTTGTGCCTTGCTTTTTCTTAATTAGACTGGCTGGAGGCTTACTGAGCTTTTCAAATAAGCAATTTTTTATTTTACTGATTTTTCTCTTCCAATTTTCTGTTTTCAGTATCACTGATTTCAATTCTAAGTTTTATTTTCTTTATCTGCTTACTCTAGATGTAATTTGCTCTTTTCTAGTTTCCAAAGGTCAAAGCCTAGATTACGGACTTTAGATCGTTCTTCTCTTCTAAGATGTGCATTAAGTGATGCTAATTTTTCTATAAGCACTGCTTTCACCACATCCCACAAATTCTGATGTTGGATTTTCATTTTCAGTTAGCTCAAAATATCTTTTATATTTCTATTGAGATTTCATCTTTTGACTTGTGTTATTTAAAAAGTGTTGTTTGGCTGGGTGCAGTAGCTCATGCCCGTAATCTTGGCACTGTGGGAGGCTGAGGCAAGAGAATTGCTTGAGCCCAGGAGTTCGAGACCAGCCTGAACGTCATGGAAAGACCCTTTCTTTACAAAAAATTAAAAAATATTAGGCAGATATGCTAGTAGGCGCCTGTAGTCCAGCTACTCAGAAGGCTGAGATGAGAGAATCCCTTGAGCCCAGGAGGTTGAGGTTAAGGTAAGCTGTGATCATGCCACTGCACTCCAGCCTGAGTGACAGAACAAGACACTATCTCAAAAAAAAAAAAAATAAATAAATAAATGCATATCTAAAAGGTTCACCCTTATTTTTGAATGACAAATTAGCTATATATAAAACTATCGATTGACAAAAAAAAAAAAAAAAGAAGTATTGTTGGATTTGCAGCTATCTTTCTGTTATTGATTTCTAGTTTTTCTATCATGCGCTAACAGCAGACGTTGTATGATTTCTCTTCTTTAAATTTGTTGAACTATGTTTTATGGATAAGAATGTGGTCTGCCTTGCTGAACAAGATATCTCTCTCTCTCTCTCTCTTTTTTTTTTTGTAATGAATTGAAGACCCTTAGATTCATATGGAAATTTTAAAATCCGTTTTCCCTCAGTGATACATATTTTACACTTGATTTCTAATGTATTCCATGATTTGTTCTCATAGTTAGGGGTAAGTCCTTCATTTTGATGCGGTGTTCCTACATATGCCAAACTAGATCTCAGAAATGGTACCCCACAGTGGCATCTGTGGGAAACCTAGGCTGTCTTAATAAAATATGTATGCACATTGGTGAAAGTTTTCAACATTATGAACCTGTACATGAACTTTTTTTTAATGTTTGCTTTAGAGACATACATCAGGTAGAAATTTTTAAAAATGGGCAAACATTTAACATTTCTCAGAGATTAATAATGAATTTTTATTATTTTTAAATGTTACAGTTGTTTTTTTTTTCTGATTTCATTTAGTTTTGTCAGCCTGGTGGGTGGCAGCTGTCCAGAGAGAGGAAGCAGCCAACGTTCTTTGTGGTTGTCCTGACAGATATTGACTCAGATCGACATTACTGCTCATGCCTAACCTTCTATGAGGCAGAGATCAATCTTCAGGTATGAAAACCTTTCTAGCTAAAATACAGTCAAAGGTACAACATTTAGAAATGTTTTTATATGCCATATTTTTGTTAAAACTGCACGTTTGAGTTTTATGGGCTGGCTTAAGAAGCATGAGGAAATTTTTATGTTTAAGGTTGGAGAGGAGAGCAACACGTTTAAATTACTTTCCAGGTTTAATTGTCCTTTTTCAAGACATTGATCCTAATCTGAGTATTTCTAAAAAAGTGTATCTTTGAATTTGTTTATTAAGAATATTAATTTCTTCTCTTGGTGAACCTGTGATTTTCCTTGCCAGCCCTTCTCCTGGGAGGTCTTTCATAGAATGTGGAACATTTACTCACAGTGTTTGCAAATCATTATTACAATGCTTGACATTATTGTTTAAGCACCCAAATGTTAACTCATTCTTCTTAGTGGTAGTATTATCAACATGATCAGGCAGAAATTCATAAGGTAGAACTATGAAGATATATAAAATAATTGCTCTTTCAGACTATTGGTTGAAGTTCTTAGTGTCACACTACTGGATCTATTTCTCTAAGCAGAAAAGGAGTCATAACAAAGTATTGGGCAACTTACGAAATTTTAGGGGTGAGGGACGATTGGGGAACCAATTTAGGGTTCTAGGAACAGCCCAGGTTGGCGCTATTCTCATAGAAAGCATATTCCTTCCACCTTTTAACAAATGGCACTTATGGTGCTGGATATATATCAAACATTATAACCTTCACCACAGTTGTGCTAGAATATCCATTCTCCTGCATATATTCACACTGCTGACTTCTGCTTTAGTCTCACACTGCTGACTTCTGCTTTTAAGTTTCACATGAGTTGTTTATTTGGTGGAAGTAAGATTACATACAGAGCCCATCTTGCTCCAAAAAGTGTAGTTTTTTTGTTAGTGGTGGTGTTGGTGTTGGTATTGGTGATTTTTCTTTCCAGGCTCTATAATACAAGAAGGAAACTATAAAGGGGTTTGCAGGATATTAAGTAAGCCAGTTTGCATAACCTGCTGTAGTTTCTGCTACATATACAGTTTCACTACTGGGTGGAAAAGATTGGCCTATTTTCTGAAATGACCTAACAAAGGAGCATTTGTTAGTTTTGATTATTTTTATTAAACTCTAAGATCTGAATTTCCTGGATGCAGAAATCTTTTTTTTTCAGTACAAGAGGAGACAAATTACCTTCCACGATGAAGACTCATTATTCAAGTTCATTAGACTGATGTATTAAAACCAACATGCTAGGTTACTAATTTACAGGAAATGTTAAAAGTGCTGATAATGCATGTAGAACAAAATATGCATTATCAGCACATTGTCTCCCTGTCATTGGATCTTAGTAGAAAGCCATATCAAAGTCTGGAATTTTGATTATGGAATCAGGCTAAGGGATATTTGATGTGAAACGCTTAAAGACTATCTTGATCTATTCCTAAACATCAAGTATATGATTTAAAAAAATGAAAAAAAGAGCATCAGACTAACATAGCCTATTGCTTATATTTGAAATTAGAGGAGGTTGCTGTATGTTATCAATGAAGACAGAAAACTTTAAGTCTGTGACTTAGTGTCCTCTCCCCTGGATAATGTTTATATGTATGTTGCCACCAAATAGCTAATCAAATTCTCATTTTGGTCAATTCAATCTGAATCAGTTAGAGAGTGTTCTCTAGTCTAAGCACCACTCTATCTCTTTTACTTGGCCTTTCATTTTTCTGTTGGTCTTTAGCATTTAAGTTAATGCTGAGAATTCAGCGTTTTCTGTTATTTACATATTCTTGAGGGTATTGCTTCATAACTCCCTTGAATTATCTAATGAAATTATAATCATTTAGATTCTCCCTCTTTTCTTCACTACCCACCCCTCTTCTTCTAGACAAACTGACAGAAAGGCAATATATTGACATTATATTAATAGCAGGTGTTTATAAAAAGGTTCTAGGAATTCTTGGGTATTTTTCAAACTTTTAATTTGGAAATAATTTTAAGCTTATAGAAAAGTTGCAGGAGTAGTGCAAACATGTATATAGCCTTTACTAATATTCACCTATTGTTAATATTTTGCCCTATTGATTTATTTTGAGGTCTTTCTTTCCTTCCCTTCCTTCCTCCCTTTTTCCCTTCCCCCTCCCATCTTTCCTTCCCCCTTCTCCATACACACACACAGGGTTTATTTTTTCCGAATCATATCAAAGAAAGTTGCGTGTATCATTTCCCCTTACCCTAAATTCTCTAGTCTATGTTTCAGAGGTACATGAACAGTACGTAAACTTGTTAACCTCAGGAAATTTAACATCAATATAATAAAACCTTCTATCTATATTCCAGTTTTATCATTTGACCTAATAATGTGCTTTATAGTACCCCCCTCCCTTTTTTCTTCCAGTACAGGATCCAGTACATACTAACATACATTGCATTTAATTGTCATTTCTCTTTTGTCTCTTTTCATCTGCAATAGTTGTGCAGCCTTTCTTTGTCTGTAACGTTGACATTTTAACTTCTCGCCCCCATTTTTAATAGAATGTTTCTTTTTGTGTTTTCCAGTCTCTCTCATTGTTAGTTTCAGGCTCTGCATCAACAGTTCGAATCTGTGTTCCTTCTAAGGGTGTCCTTCTAAGAGTACACATCTGGAAGTATACAATGTCTATCTGTTCCTCATTGATTATGTTAATTTTGGTAACTTGGTCAGATGATTGTCGGATTTCTCTACTTTATAGTGGTTATTTTTGTGTTTGCAACTAATAATCAGTCTCCTGGAAGACACTCTAAGACTATGCAAAATCCTACTATTCATCAGTCCTGTTCCCCTAGATTTCAGCATTTACTAATGATTTTTTCCTATACCAATTTTGATTCTGATAACAAAAAATGTTTTTCCAACTCCACTCTCCCTCTATTTTTAGCAGTCAGCAGTCAACCTTTTACTATAAGTGAGAATTCTCCCTTCCTATCTTTTTTAACTACAAACTCATAGATTCAGCATTTTTTTCAATAATATATAAATCATTAATTGTTTTTATCATTTTAATGCACAAATTATCCCATATTTGACCAGTGTGCACCACTCAGACAAATCAGATTCCTGTATTCTTTTCACAGATCTTCTTTTTTAAAAAGTACTTTTTAACTTTTCATCCTAACAAGTTGATCCAGGATCATTTTAGTCCTTCCCGACCTCTGCCTTGAAATCAGCCATTTCTTCAAGGATCCTTGGCTCCTTTGAGTAGGGAATAATACTAGAAACTAAGATCTGGGTTCTTGTCTAGTTTGAATTTGTATTTCAAGAAGTTATTTCTCTCTTTAACTCAAGATATTTTCCCACTTGTCATTTTAAGTTGGACCCAGAAGTCATCATTTATTTTTTATGATCACCTTGTAAAAGATTACAGTTTGTTTCATATGAGTTTTTTTCCAAGATTCTGAAAATGTAGATAGGTTGCAAGAATGCTGGATTCTATGTACTTGTACTTAAGTACTTAGTCAGAATTGTAAGACCACTTTTCTGGAACCATAAGTTAATGTCTTTTGGGCTTGGTTCAAAAGAGGGACAAACAATGAAGCAGAATTAAAAAAAAATAGAACCCAGAAGATGTTTCTTTTTCGGTCATCAGTAAGGTTGTTCTCTTTTTTGGCGTGAACTGTTTACGTCCTTTTAAAAATGTGTTTTTATTCTCTTTTTGGATCATATCATCATTTCAAAATAGATCTTTTAATTCTTGTTTGGTATGAATTACTTCATACTAAATATACTATGACACATTATTTGGAAGCCTAAAGAGGGGGAACTTAGGGACATACACCATCCAAAATATGGTTGTGCAACTTAAAAAATGTTGGCTCTGTTATCTTTCCAAGATACAGTAAAACTGTCACTAATCATAAGCAAAACTTTGGCATTAAACTTTTGATAATATGTTCCTAATATTACTCAACTAGGTAATGTGATCCTAAATTTTTTCAAGTAATCAGTAAAATCTGATTTACATTGGCTTTTATGACTTATCTAAAGAGTAATCATACTTTGATTATTTTAAAATATGATTTTAAAAATATAAAATTTTAAATATCTAAAATTTAAAGTTCTATATCTTTTTAAAATATTGCATATGTTTATATGCTTGTCTCTGAATCAGTGATAATTACGCAGTTCTCAGTGAGGATATTTGGTTTGTCAGCAAATTGTCATCAAAGAAAGAGAGAGGGAATTAATTTTGTAATTTTGAGAAATAAGGAATACAGAGGGAGAGACATAGAAGGCATAAAATATGTTTCTCACATCTCAGTGGGCTTCAAATCTAGCCTGGAAAGCAGAACCAAGAGTTAAGTACAAAAACATTCCAAAGTACCATATGCTAAGTGCTACTCAGTGAAATAGATAATAATTGCAGACTGGGCAACTGGAATAAATTAGAGTTTGAAAGACTCAGTGGACTTTTTAATAACAGCTAACACCTAGAATAAGGGAAAGAAAAAAGGACAATTCAAACAAAAAGCTTGTGAAAAGGAAAAAAGATTTAGTGCTTACGATAAATTGAAGTTGTCATATGTTCTGGGTACTGTGCTAAAAGCTTTACACTTTATTTCATTCTATTTTATTTAACTCACATATAGTTTACTTTCACACAACACCATTTGGTAGGTTTTAGCATTTCCATTTTACAGATGAGGCTTACCTAGGGACATACAATGCCAAGTTGAAATGTTTGATTCTGTTTCCAAGAACCAAATAATAAAACATATACTACAAAGCTGCAAAAATTATATCAATGTGTTATTGGTTCAAGAATTAAGTGTCAAGGATAAAAACAGTTATGGGAACAGAAACGACAGTCCAGAAGCAGACCCTATTGGGTATAGAAGATCAGTGTCTGACAATAGAAGCTTTATAAATCAATGGAATGTGTGTATTTCAACAAATACTATTTAAATAGTTGACGAGCTATTTGAGAAAACAAAATAAATTTAAACATAGTATCATACAGTTAA